TCCGGTTTAAAAGGGTTTGGTTAAATTTGCAAGTTACACTTCAGCCACTACTGAACCTTGACCGGCTTCCTTCCAGATCTGACGTGCTAGGGAGGCAGATAAGCACTTTTCAAACGAAGCTGGATGTTCGCATGGGGAAATAAGATGCCTTGCTAAAACACATGATATTGCAAAGAAAATGGACCTGAACCATCACTACACAGCGGAATTTGCAGCCCAAACCAATTTAGCAAGCCAGAAATAATGAAAAATTGTATCACTATACAAGAAGGGAGGAATATTGGAGAAGAAGAGAAGGTTATGTGAGACCTCATAGCAACCTTCCAGTATCTGACAGGGAAGAGGGAAGCTGGAGAGGGATTCTTCATCAGGAACTGAAGTGACAGGTCAATAACTAATGGGTACAAATTGAAAGAGGGGAAATTTAAGTTACATAATAGGAAGAAATATTTCTTTGAGAGTGGTTACACACTAGAATAGTGCCTAACCTCTGGTTGCCCAGCGACGTTGTGGTTTCCCAATGCTGGTACTCATTGGACAAGGCCTTGAGAAAGCTGGAAGATGTCTAGTGGGAATTGTCCCTGTCCATGCCAAGGTGGGTTGGGACTAGATGATTTTTAATATCCATTCCAACCACTTAAAACTCTATAATTCTATGATTCCGAGTTCTGTAGCTTATTTTTGAAACAGCATACAACGCTAAAAGCTCCATTTAAGAATGAATGTTGCAAATTTAGAACAAGGGAAAGAATGAAGAGTAGAAAAAAAAAATGCTTGCATGAGAAATTATTAAATAAAAATAGGTTGAGAAGGGGGCACACTAATATGCCAAGTGTGTCAAGGCAATTGCGACAGATAAGTTTGGAATGATTACACACTTGATCTAGTAGCAGAAAATTGTGAAGGCATCTTCTTATAGATGAGAAGGTGGTCACAAGAAAGTTTCTGGTTTCTATTAGCCATTTTTTTAAATGAAAAAAACAACTCACTGTGATTATGGAATTTGCTGACTTGGAAAGGCTTTGGAGTCAAGAATTTGATGAGATACAAGGCTACTGTGAGCAAAAATAATCCCATATCTCCCATTGTGGTGTACCTATAAATTTCTCTGAAGTATCTAGCTGTAGACAGTTGTGACAGGACGGTGAACTCAGATCTGGCCAGTAATGTGCGTTCCTTTTCCCTAAGCTTGATACTGGTGTAAAAACAACTTTATCAGATATTACATAATAGGATTTATTTTTCAGACCTCAGACTCTCTTCCTGTGAGTACACATGCTTAACTCTGTTAGCATGAATAGTTTCACAGGATCAAGCAGGACCACCCAAGGGAATATAACATAAGCACATGTGTAAGTAACTGTTTGTTTAACTTGTACATACTAATAATTTTGCATTACCATTTTAATGCAAAAGCAGAGGCAGAGAACTTCTGCATTCAGGTTTTCTTTAGGAGAGAGTGTGCATTCAACTTTACTTTCAGTTCTTTTCACTTATCTATATAAATGGTAAATGGTGAACTGATGGCAAATTTTCTTCTTTTTGTTCTTTGCAACTATGAAATTCCAAAGGTTGACCTCATGCTATTCTTTCAATAAATAATAGCTGTGGTGCATATTTAACTTCCACATTTAAATGTATTTTACTTTTTATTCTTTTACAGTGGTGTATTTACAAACTTTTCTGTGCTTATTCATTCCTGTCAACTTTTTACAAGCAGCCTCACATCTCTGGTATTCTAGATAAAGGTTGCAAGTTGGCATCCAGTATTATCCAGTAGACAAGAAACATTGAATTCAGGAAAATAACTTACTGCATTAAAAAAACCCCACAAAAATGTACATGCATGCATACACAAACACTCCACCTCACACACCCCAAAAGCAAAACTCACAACAAACAAACAAACCCACAACCAAAGAAGAAAAACCAACTTTGAAACAAAGTTGCCACTCAAAATACTCAACTGACTGTTGTAGAAAGAGACATTTGGATATGGGCCTTTTCTCAAACAGCAAGGTGTAAGATTTATAGAGTTGTGAACAGTGATCCACAAATATTTAGTGGCAAATGTAAACTTTAATGGATTTACCCACTATCATCAGGACTATTGTCAACTTAAAAAGGAATGTACCTACTAGAGATGATGTTTTGTCTACTCTGGTAAAAAAGTAAATATAGGATATTATTATTTGTTTGAGTATGTCAAAGTATGAGCAGTAGAAGCAAAACATCTCAAAAAAACTAAGAACCATAGAAGTTTCTAAGTTCATTCTAATTTTGCTAATGAAAGGGAGAGAGATGACTTTGATCATGGTAGAGCCAAAACAAGTGTGTACTTTTAACTCTTCATACAGTTTTAACATAAGAGTTCAAATTGAGACTATATGTAAGACCTAAGAGTTCTTGCAACAAATCACTCTGTAAATACAATTTTATTGGTATTAATAATTGTAGCAATTTGACATCCATTTTTGGACCTTTTTAAGTACAATGCAAGATAAAAGGAAAATGGTGATAGCATATATTCTTAGGGATTTTAGAGCTGTGCTGGTTATCTAAGGTTATTACTCTGAAAATGTTTGAGACACACTTCCTTATATCTTCAATTTTCGGTCAGCTATTTTATGAAGGTGGGTTATGTACAGATTCTAGACAAGAAGAGGTCATTTTCATAGGAAATCCCATCCCCTCCATATTATAGCCACTTCAGCTAGAATTCATGCAAACATGCTTACATTCTGGATAAGAAAAACTAATGGGAAAGAATCTCTGATGCAGGGGGGAAAGTCTGCTAAGAAATGTTGGGTGTTATTGTTGCAAGAGCAGAGGAAGATAAAAGAGAGAGATGGAGAGGGAAACTTGGGAAAACATCTCTTTTCATGCTTTGCCTTTGTCCTGTGGCTGTCCTGCCTCTACAGACTCTGAACAAAGACCATTTCATTTTCTGCATACAGTTCTGTCTTTATCCATTTACCTTTATCTTTTCTGTTATAAAGATGAGTACAGCAAGACCATCATCAATAAAGACACAAGTCCAGGAGGGAACAGGCTTTGCCTAACACTGTTAAGTGAAGAAGCTTTTAAAGGTAATGGAAGCCTTTAAACTAACTTCTTCATTCCTTCCTGTTGAAATGTAGGGCTGGAGAAAACTTCAGCAGATCCCTAGTCAAACCACTTCCATAGAGGCCAGCTGAAGTAAACTCAGCCATCCCTTATGGCTGTTCATCCGACTTCATTGAAAGTCCTGGTGAAAGAGAAAGGGGTGGGCTTTTTTTGGTAGCCTAGCAATTCTTTACCCCAAGAGTAAGAATATTCTTCTGAATATTCCCTAAGATTTATGCATAGCCAGTTACATTTATTTTCTTTTGTCATTTGTTGGATTTGGAGAACCAAGTATTCAATATCTTTGGAAACCAACATTTGTGATCTGGAAAGTCATGACTGAGTGCTCTCACAAAACAAAGAAACATTGAATCTGGAATAATATCCTCAGCAATAATATTTGGATAAACAGATAAATCTGAAATGTTCAACATTTTGCCCTTAGTTTTTTTTCTACTAGATAGACAAGCCTAACTAATTCAGTGTTTTGCCATAGATCATTTTACTCAGACCCTTATCAGGCTTCTCAATTCTCTATGCACTTCAGTCTGTTTGCATGTCAGACTTTCTGTGGTCAAGATTCTCAGAGGTCTCATCAAAACAAGCCAAAACTTCCCTTATTTACAAGAGACAACTTGAATCTTTTACCTGGTAATGCCTTCTCTTATTTCTAAGTCTATTCTCTTTCCCACCAAACTTTTAAAAAAGAAACCCCCATGACACCACTACCAAAAAATTAATCACCTGGAAAATCCAGATGAGATTTGAAATGTTTTCCTATCTGACAGTAAACCTTTTTTTTTATTACTGATAAGTTCATTATCTGTCAGCATTACCAGTGGTAACTCTGCAGCTCTGAAAGGAGGTTGTGGCACACTAAACTTTTGCTGTTTTACAGTGTCCTTCTTGGAAGGTACACAGAAGCATGTTTTGGAATATGTCACTAATAATAATGAAGACAGTTAAGAACAACAACTAAATATGGCATGCCAAAATACTATATTCAGATTTTCACAGTTTCCAGTATCTGTTCTGTCTTGCACAATAAGCACAGAGGGAAGAGGGGAAAACTCTACTTTTACCTTTTCCCCACTTGCTGCTGCCTGCATTTGGACAATTCTTATGAAATTGATTTCTTCCCCTGTTTCAGGGGGCGACTGCTTCAGGTTCACTGTGTGCTACTTGCCTGCGCAAGAGCTGCTGTGCAGTTCAATGTCCACATTTCCAAGCACATGAATCCCAGCATTGCCTTAGCTTCTTTCCCACTTCTAGGAATCCCCTGATTTCAGATCCAGAATGTGACTACAGATTGACTAGCTAGGGACATTGTTACTTGCTGCATTCTATTTTCTAGGAAAGCAAGTAAGTCACTAACAATCAATGAACCCCTAAAAGGAAATATTACATATTCCATCTCCGGATTAACTCATCTTGATGAAGTGAGTGAGTGCTTCCTCACTTCTCTTTTACCAGTCAGAAGTCTGAGAGCCAAACAGAGGAAAGCAAAAAATCTACCCTAATTAAAAAAAGCCTCCAAAACCAACCAAAAACCAAACCAACAAAATCAAATAAATTTGTTTCTTCCAAGCCAGATTCAATTATAGTATGCCTTCTTAGCCATTCATCCTCATCTAGCAGCCACCCCTTCCTTGCCAGCAGATTCTAAAATTGGTTTAGGAATTAAAGTTCCCAGAGACAAGCAAACCGAGGAGGTTCCTCACCGCCCGCGGCCGGAGGGCAGCTCCGGGAAGGGCAATCCCGGCGCAGGGATCTGGGCGGGAGGGCGCCGTCCCTTGGGTGCCAGACCCTGCCAGCTTCACCTTCCTCCCACCGGGAGCAGGGCTGCTTTAGAGACCCGAATCTTCAAAGCAAGGCAGAAACAAGGCTTTACTCACCTGTCAGCATCCAGCAGGAGGCAGCCATGCCTGGGCTCCTGCGAGCGGGGCCGGGAGCCCGGGCGGAGGGCAGCGGTGGCGGGAGCGGTTCTGCCGCCGGCGCGCCCGGCTGAGCTGCGCTGCCGGTGGAGCTCAGCGCTCTGCACCGCCCGTCCGCCTCGCAGCCGAGTTAGGCATTTCCTGTTTGTTATCCAGTCTTTACGTTGCTTCTTCGCGTTTAAGAAGAGTTTAGCTTCCTCCCACCCGCACACAGTTTCCCCCCCACCCACCGTCTAAAGGTCTCTGAGTTTTGGAAACCTCCCCGTTGAATTAGCCCAGCGTTAGGATGTACAAATAAAGCCAAATCTCCCCCACTAAACACTCTCGGAGAGCGCAGCAGACCTTAAAGGGACATCTCCCGGTTCATAATTAATAAGTGTCTGCCGCCGGCCAGCCCCTGTCCCAGTAGGGCAGGAGTGAGCTGGGTGTGCTACACAGCCACCTCTCTCGCCTTAAGAACAGAAGAAACACGTCGTTGAGGTAGGGGGGTGTGTTTGACTGCTCGAGTTTAATTTCTCTGACATCACCCCTTAAAAACGCACTCTTACGGCCGGTCATTTGCCCGCAAGAGGAAGCCAGCCACCCCCTCCCCATTCTCGGCGGCTCTGGAGACACAGTAACTCTTCAGACAGTGGGCGATTCTCTCGAGTCTCTGCGTCCTCCTGTGCTTGGCTGCATAAATACCAGACAAGCTGCCTTTGCCCTCCTCTATCGAACGTTTGCATGGCATGCCTTCCCACTCTCCCTGCCCCCAAAACGACTTCACTAGTAAATAACTGAATAAATAGCAAAGGTAATAATCAGCCAGATTCAAGCCCTTGAGCAGAGATTTTCAGGGTTTGTTGCACACTCAGGAAAGGAGTAGTTTTGCAGGACTTTTTAAATTTTTGCAGGACTTTTGAGCGCCAGACTGATGCTCAAGTGGAGTCACACCCCTTCAGCAGTGTATGAGATGCCACGCTGGACCTGGTGAAAAATAATTTTATTGTTTATAAAACAAGGGAATCCATAGTCCCTCAAGAAAGAAAAAGAAAAACCAAATACAAGGATTTGGAAAATTGGTGCTTCTAGAAAAATCCTTTATCATTTCCTTGACTTGGAGCAAAGGACTTGGTGAGTTAGTGGAAGTTAGTGGAATTTTGGTAAGTTCCTTTGATACTAATAAACTGCAGCTTTTAATAAGCACTATAATAGCTTATTTCATCTTCCACCTTCTGTCTTAATTTCATGAGAACACTTAGGGTGCACCTTGTAGATCTGTGGAAATTTTAGAAAAGTGCACAATTTTAAAGCTGGTTTAAGAGCAAAGATGCTCAATGGGTCTACTCAAAGTTGATGAAATTAAGTACATGTGTAATTTCTGCTGAATGAGAATTTTAGCTTGGTTGGTGTCAGTTTAAAAGACAAGACACATTTTTTCCAGTCAAAGGTTTTATGCATAAAATTAAAGGAAATAAAAATGGCATCCAAACGAAAAGAAGACTGAGTTTATGGAAAAATTGTCATTTCATTTTTGCTAGTCAGTTGTGTTACTACTACTGTTATTCCAAAACAGAGTTCGTAACCCAGTGTACTGGAGCCAACAGCACACAGAGTTGATGTTGCGGTTTATTACAGAATTACAAGTCTGGGTGCTGGGTGGTAATCCACAGAAGTCAGCACCCTCTGGGTTATAAAGCTGGGAGTTTTTTTATATCCTTTTTTAGTATATATTCCACCTACCAAATACAGATGGACTGCTGTATTTTCTTAAAAAAAATCTTAACCAAACAACCAGACCAAACAACCAAACCTTTGTATTCCCTGTGTCACTACAGCTAAATGAAGGAATTGAGCTTGCCTTCAAATCATAATGAAGGACTATTTATTTATTTATTTATTCAGATTAAAGGTATTACATCAGAGGAAGAAGCAGGGAAACTAAGGACCTTCTCTTGGACTAAAATTAATTCAAGCCCATATGAAATTTATTAACGTTTGGTAAATATGTGGAGACTGTATATCATGTTGGAGAATAGCACTTCTTGAGAGTAAAAATTATGAAGAATTATTCCTAATATTTACCAAATTATTCTTAATATTATGATTCATTAATTTGTTTTTGTGGTGGTGTCATATGTCTTGCATAGGCAATGTCAAAGGGAAAACATTAGAGATGATTAATTGCTGGGCTGAGCTAGTATTTCTTATTTATTTGAACACATTCAAGTAACTAAAATACACTACAGACTTATAGGTAACTATCTGTTTTGGAGTGTCAGACCGGAAAAAAACTCAAACCCACTGTTTCACAATTCATGTTACTGTATGTACAGTAGTTCAAGCTATGTTAGTAACATGTTGCCAAATTCTCAGAGTTCAAAGCTTCATACATTAGTAGTAAGGAACAAATCTGTTTTAAGCAGGAATCCCTAGATGAAGCTCACTGAGGGCCAGAAGTAGATAAGATACTAGGTTATTTTAATGTGAGAAAAAACAAGTATTACTAGCTTCAGTGGATTGTAATAATATACAAAATCATTACCCGTAGTTATGGATAAAAGAATAAGGTCAATTTAGTTAAAAGAATATAGTTGGCTTGCATAATTTATGTCTTTCTTAGATGTCACCAAATGCTGAGGAAGGATTTTTTCCTTAGTGCTATAAATTAAACATAATTGGTAACTTTGAACTGTGCCTCCTAACTCAGTTTCAGCAATTGTTTTTGTTTTTAGAATATGAGATCTAGAATAAGTCCACCAGTAGTTTCATAGAATCTGATTAAGTATTTGTGATTAAAGATTAAAGACTTTGACAAACTGGACTTTGAAAATGTAGCAAAACCTAAAAATATCAGAACGACACAATTCTTCTCCCCTCTAGGAGGTGTTATTCCTGCAGAAAAAAACCCAACCCGTGGAAATGCTTTTTGTCCCAAAGGTCAGGGCTGAAGAAAGAGGAACCAAAGTTTTTCAAATAGTTTCAAAGTCAGGCAGTCTTATATGGTGTCACTGCAATTTACGTAGAACTTGTTTTTTCACGGATTTTTTCTTCCTCTCTTAAAGAAGGTATGAGCAATTTTAATTTATTTTACTTGCTGAGTGAGAAAGATCTCTAACCTGTAACACAAGAGAGGAATGCATGATGCAGGACTGACTTCAAGTAGTCAGAAGCGTGTCTAATTTTCTTCTATTAAAGGAATAGTATGACAGCGCTGATATTGTAAGAGAGATGTTACACGCTTCTGCAGTGTTCACTGTTGTTATAACACTTCACTATGCACTTCATGGAAAATACTACAGAATGTGTTCATATAGCTTCTAAGTGAATATTTATCATTGACATCACAGATTATAATCTTGGATAGTTTACATTGCACTGTGGATTAATGGTAATTTACATTTATGTTTTTTTCTTACACTTGCTTATCCTCAGTCTCCAGCATATATTTCACCTTGATGACTTTGTTGTCCATTTTCATAATCTCCATTTTTTCCTATCTGATTCTAGGACTGTACTAGAATTCACCACGCATGACTTGGGGGTCTGTAGTCTGATTTTTATTATGTCTGAAATACTCGAGGGCTTCTTCTTCAAGTACCAGAACTAAGACCTTGCAGGATTTGGCATGAAGTACTCTATGCATAAATCTTTTCATGTTTTACAGCTCAGCTTTTAACTGATACTTGATATTCTTGGAGAATGCCCATGCTTCAGCTCCATCTGTATTAACCAGAGGTACATATGTGCCAAAAATCCTTTTTGCTATACAATAGGATCTCTATAAAATTTTTGTTTTGCAGATTGTGTCAGTTTAAATAATGTTGGTAGGAAATGTTATGGAAAATGCCCTTTGTGTTCTGTGTTACATCTATTCCCTATAATATCTTTTATTTCTTGTTATTTTTTGGATTATGTATCAAATATCATGTGTAACTGTGAATCAAATAATATACAAATGAACATAATCAAATTAATATACAAATTAATATAATATATGTGTTCTTACTGAAATTTCTGATTTTCCTCCTTAACAGTTCTCCAGTGTCTCACATCCTCAGTCACGCTGCTTTTCTTTATGCATTTTCTCCAGGTGCAAGTTTTTAAATATTCGTTTTAAATTTGCAGAGATCAAAATTAGGCATACCACAAAAATACAGGAAGACCAGAAAGAGATGAGTTTGCACAGTATCATTTACTGCTATACATCTTCCACCAATCTCTTTAATTTTGGGGAGATTTCTGCTTGCTTATTTACTTACCTATGTACCTGTTTGTAAGTTATCTTTGAGCTCCATAGTACACTGCCAAACTTTAACATGAATGTATAGTTCTTCAAACTATACACTACAGAACGCAGTCTATTCTATGTGAATGAGGTACTGACTTCTCTGGCCTGTCAAATTTTTTTTTGGGTTGGAGCACTGTTTCTGCAGCACTGAAGTCACTGCAGCTATGGCATTGAGTCTGAGGGGAATGGAACTGGTATTTTCAAGTGTGGGGGGGTTGAAAACCAGAAATTAATATTGTGTTATACAAAACCAAGAATCTAGAAATTGCAATGGATTTATAGGTTGTTTGACTAAAGGTAGGTATAATAACTTAGTTATTAACATCAGTGCACTAATTCTACAGCAATATACAAAGAAGATTTACAATGAGGCCAGAATTTGGGTGTAGAGGGTTAATTATTTTCATTAAGGCCTTGGGCTTTCTGCAGTTCTGCACACAAATTTCCTTTTTTCTTTATTACTCCTTCTTAACAATTAAGTTATGTTTTGTTTTGTTTTTAACATGCTGCTTGTGGTATGTTGTATAACCAATATTATTTATTGTTCGGATAGATTTCATTTATGAAGCTGTATAAAAGAATAATTTACTGAGAGCATGCTGTGAAGGGAGGCTAATTGATGTCACTAATTTCTCAAAATAATTACATAGTCTGCAGAGTCTTACATTGTATTGCATTGCACTGTATTCATTACCTTCACAGCTGGTCTGCATAATATAATTACTTATTACTGTTGGTTACAGAAAAAAAGGTAGCTATGATTATAATAACACTGTG